ATCGTAGCTCAAGTCTTCGATAAACATCACATGTGTTTCAAAGAATATCTTCTGTCCTGGCTGTGGACTTCCCGCCAGAGTAAAGACGAAATTTTTCACATTTGTTCTGCTGTCATTTAAAGGTATGAAAACACAGAGTGATGAATGTCTTATATAAGTGGAAAGATGCCTCAGAAACTATTATAGAAGAAAAGAGGTCCTACGATTGATGCAATGTTTGCAAAAAGTGGTAACTTTATCCAGAAATGGCCGTTCAAAAAAGGGAATAAAAAACGGGTAGAACTTGAAACAGCCCAACATAGTTCTTCCCCTTGTACCGATCTACCGTAACCCTCACGACGTCAGAATTTGGCAGAACTGTAGCTGCCCTTGTAGCTTATGTAGTTCACATTATGACAGAATTGTGCGTTTGAGTGATGAAAGTGTTGCAAAACTCAGTTCAACCTAGTATATGTAGTAGGTTCAGTTTACGCGTAACAAACTAGACGTCACTGTTAACAATTTGTGAATTTTTCATTGAATCGTGAATTTGGGTTAAAAAGCTATCTGTTGAATGATACCCTTTTCAAAACCACATTAACAATAAGCTACATAAGCGAAAGGAATGTGGGTTGTTTACGACGGTCAGGAAGATTTTCCCACTTCTATTTCTAGCAGAAAACTTAAGCAAAATATTTTTATTGCCTTCTCGTTTATAAAAAAACCCTTACTGGAACAAATAATTTACATTGAAGGTTTCACAATTTTCCTGCTACACAAAAGAGATTATCGACGGATCACAGGCTAGTACGATTGTATCTAATTACAACCTACCAACCCAACCTACAACCTGATGACGTATTCCAAGGGATATTTTGGTATCAACTTACCCTAATACCGTCGTCGCAGTCATGATATATGTACAGTACCGGCTCGATATCCGTTAGTTCTCTGGTAGTTCCAGTAAGGGCAAATTCGCCATCTTTGTCAGTGTACTTCTCATCTAGCAAATCGTCTCGATCTCCGGGATCTGCAGAATTCAACATCAACATCATGCAATATAGAAAAGATGATTCCGAATCAAAAAATTTTTTAAAGCCAAAATGCGAGAAAATTTGGTTTGAACACTGAGTAGGAAGTCGATCTAAAGTTTACACAGAGATTG